TGAAAGTGTAGCGTTGTAGTCAAGAGCACACTAACCGAGACCAAGACATACCCGAGACCAGAGAGCTCCGAGACTGAGACAAGACCAAGACATTCAGGGATCGAGACCAAGACGTGATGACGTGTAAAAGCAGTCTGTCCGTGGTGGTCTTCAATTAAAATCATGAGTCTGCCCAGTCTGAGACGAGACCGAGTAAAGATGCTTTCAATTCACAGACGAAACCGAGACCTTCAAATAACGGGCTCGAGACCAAGACCGATTTTATTTAAAAAAATAATAAAGATTTATTTTTGTGCTTTTTGTGCCTTTAATGTAGAGATAGGACAGTAGAGTCGTAAATCAGAGAGAGAGAGACAGAGTGGGATTGACATGCAGGAAAGGAGCCACAGGCTGGATTCTAACCCGGGCCACCTGCTTGGAGAAGCAAAGCTTCCATACATGGGGAGCGCGCACTAACCACTGCACCACCAGCGCCCCACCAAGACCGATTTGGAACACTACAACACTACAGAAATGAATTCAAATGAAAACACGATAAAGGTGCTCCTGGAGCAGAGTGTCACGAGCTTTAGCATGAAACTTTTTCTGCAACTTACAGAGAAAAAAATGTTTGGTGGACAAATTTACAATTATAAGACAAACTGTGTGAGAATCAGCCACCTTTGATTCTGTATTTATTCTATTTTCAACTCTTCTTCCTCTTCTATAAATCTTCACTGGGATCATTTGCAACACTTCACTTCCTGCCCTTGTTTGTTCTTCGCCCTCTTTAGTCCCGCCTCCGTGCCATTAGTCTCACCTCTGCCTGATTAGCTTCACCTCTGAAGCGTTTCACTTCTGCTGTTCCTCTTCCTGCCTCAGTTATTCCTCCTTTCTCAGTGTTTCTTGGCATTGACATTTTCATTTGTTTGCCTGCACTGGACTGCCTCCCCTGGTTTCCCCCCCTCTCTTGCACGACATGACTCTGTGTGCTTGTCTTATTACTTTCTGAGTAATAAAGTGACTCGAGCTGTAGCATCTTTCTCTTGCATCATCTCTCCTGTGTTCCTGTCTCTCTGACTGTAGCCTACGTAAAAGATTCATTTCTAATTCCAGCATCTTTATTTAGACTCCACAGATGATGGACTGCTCTGTTTCCTGTTAGTCAGAGTCCCTGGGTTTTTACATCAGCTAAAACTAATGAATAATATCTTTAATACAAATGATTATGACAAGCTTTTTAAGCATGGTTAATTGCTTGTTATCGCATGAGAACATCCTCCTCTATTAGCAACAACCTTTTGAATAATATCGTCTCCTTGTTTCTTATCGAGCTCCACAGTATGAAACTGTTACATCATCGTCTCTCTTTCTTCATCCCTTTATCTCTTTGTCTTCACCGTTATTTAAAGGTCCAATCAGTGAGCTGTGTAGAGAGTGAGATGATAAAGGTATCTTACTCTCTGATCATTAAGGAAACATGCTATGTTGAAGTGCTGGCTTCTCTGACAACAATGCAGCAGCCAGTATGTCCTCCTTCTAACTTTAGATTCTGCTCCTGAATGCTCTGGATTTGTTTGGACCAGAGAAGGTAGGCGCTTTTAAGACACACCCCCACACGGCCGTTTTGGACGCCCCTCGGTTTGTCAGATATGAGAGCAGTTATCAGGTCAACAGGTGTTGCAGCGATGGAAGCGGTCAAGAGAAGTGGTTCAGATAGAAGTGATTGTACCCGACCTAAAAAGCCTCTGCATGTTTCTAATAAGCTCCACGAGCAGAAACGTGCTCAAACTAGGATCAATATTGGAGATGCTTTTGAAAAATGGAGAGAGGTTAGAACACAGAAAGGTTTACAGACCCATGCAGAGCTGGATAAACACTGAAGCTTCAGAGTCCACCACATGGTGACCTGAGTGAGCATCCACTCTAGAGAGGAGAGGGGGGGGGGGGCAGCTCTCTATGAGGTTTATGATTTAGACTGCAGTACACATTTTAAACACTAGGGGTCAGGGTTACATATTGCTCCTTTTTTTTAAGACTTATATTATGGGGCTTTTTCCTTTATTCGATGGGACAGTGGATAGATTAGGAGAGAGAGGGGAATGACATGCAGGAAATGAGCCACAGGTCGGACTCGAACCTGGCCGCCCGCTTAGAGGACACCAGCGTCCTTACGTGAGGCGAGACCTAACCTCCAGGACATCTGAGCCCACATATTGCTCCTTTAAAGTTATCTTATGAATCTGAACATGTACTGTTCCATAAGAACAACGTGTTTCAAACATGAAAGGCAGTCGTCGTCATATATATATAAATATCTTAAAGTACATCTCTCCCTCGACCTCTCAGTCTATTCATCCAGCTACTCAAACAGGAGCACGTCTGTCTGCAGGATTTGTACATTAGAGTATCCATGCTTTTTCTGAGACATAATGTGACGTCTGTCGGCACAGACACAGAAAACCTGCCATGCAGAACCTCACAAGTCTTTGTGTCTTTACCTCGCTGCAGAGCAAAGACAGAAGTCTGAGGAAACAAAGCAGGACAAGAAGGAGAGGCAAAGAAGAAACGCTAAAGAGGACAGTGACTGATTGAAAGAAGATTCAAGCCACGTCAGATTTCTGTCTCTTTACATTTCAGAGAAGAAGGACATCCAGAGCTTTAAAGACAAACGTCACAGAGTGCAACAGAGAAAGAAGAAGAAGAGAGAGTGAGATAATGATGCCTGGACAGAGAGAATAAACACATCTGTAAGAGAGAAACTTACAGTGTCAGCACAGAGATGGAACTGTCAGCCTCCTCTGTAATGATCTGTACTTTACATCCAGAGACATTTCTATCATATCTTTACATCTGAATGTCTCCTGTCAGCCTGAACTCAAAGAACATGACGAGTATTTATTCTTATCAGTGTCACAGCGAGCGCTAATGAGCGGGAGGGGAGGCGGGGTTTAGTGCAAGAGGCGGACAAAAGCTGCGATCCCCTGTGTCCTGCATTGTTGTGTTAGCATGCTAATGTTAGCGCTCTTTAGTTAGCTCATAGCTTCACATTGTTGTGTTAGCATGCTAATGTTAGCGCTCTTTAGTTAGCTCGTAGCTTCACATTTCATGTAAACTGACACAGAATGAGCGTGATCTAAAAACTCTTACTAACATCCAAATAATCAGTGAGTATGTTCTTCTTCTTCTCTCTAGTTCTTGACTAAAACAGCTTTTATACACAAGGGGAGGAGCCGGCCGTCCCGTCCATGTAAACACGGCTCTGACAACAACACAGCCAGCGGGACTCGAGCTTCTCCCTCATTGTAGACAGTCAGGACTCAGAGACACATTTACACAGGACAGACTTTATGATTTATTGATGTCTTCTTTTAATCAAATAAATGATGTTACTTTGTTTTTTCTTCTATTTTGAAGTCATTCTTTAAAGTATCCTCAGATGCTTCATCATATCCATAAAACTCAACCAGCTCAAAGGTTATGTAAGCTGCGTTAGTTCTGCTCTGGCCGTTTTAGTTTTCGACCGTTTTTAACTGGATTATGTAAACAAAGATGGAGTCAGCAGCTGCTGGGGGGGGGGGGGGGGGGGGGTCACCTCCTTTAACACTGAATGTAACGGAGCTGAATGGCGTCATTAATGACCGAATAAAACAAGATGATGAGAAAGAGAGGAGTTAGTTTTTAGTTTAATCAGGATTATGCAAACAAAGGTCTGTCGGGGTTAATGACCTCAACATGACTCGTTGTGACGGGACACGGGTCCTGTTGGGCTCGGCTTGTTTGCATGAGGATCGTGATGTAAGAAAACACTCACCACATAGAGCTGCTTCCACAGTAAGGCCCACTCCTGCAGCGTTGACGTCACCTCGGTAACGATGGGGTCTTCGAGGGGCGCCACGGTCTCATGAGGCCTGTGAGGGGAACGCACACAGACACTGAGTTTAACCGCTGGTAACAAGTGAAGTTCCACTTGAAGACACAACGAGCAGCGTGTCGAGCACACAAACACACGAGACCAGAAGTAAACACACGCACACACAGGGAGACTCATTAAAGCGCTGACCCTCGCTCCATTGTGTTGCTTTACATTCAGTTAGGCTTCAACAATAGTGAGTTACAGTGGATTGAGTTCAGGCGTGTCAGAGTGACAGTCCACTGCACCACAGAAGAAGAACGGCCCGTCCACAACGACCCACAATGCTCTAGTTAAACAAACAAGTGAAGAAGCCTCAGACTCAGACCGGTTGAATGTCTGCTTTATAAATGTCAGGACCTTTGATGTGTAGTTCATCTCAACAAATGTTCACTCTCACAGAAAAAGACACTCATGAACGGAGCAAAAAATGGTGAATAATTACATCCTCACTACGGCTTTTATATTTTATTCTAAAGTCGAACATTCAGGCAAACCTGGGGAAGAAAGTTCTCATTTGAAATGTAATGAGCCGTTCAAATTCAAAATATAAAGTCCATCAGTGCAATGTGATCCAGCAGAGGGCGCTCTCAGCGTAATTCGACCATCTCATGCACTCTTGACCTCAGTGAATGAAGACAGTGATGTTGAGGCTAAAGCAGCGGGGGTGAGAATCAGGAGATTCAGATCCACATGAGGGAGACTCGTCTCTCTGCAGACAGCAGCACACTGCTGAGAGAAACAGGGTCGTTACAAACCCGCTAATATTTGTGTTTATCAGGAAGCTCTGTGCGCTCTGAACGGTCGTTCTCATCTGCAGGTATTGTGACCACAAAGAGTGCTGCACTCGATCCCGATCGAGTTTACAGACTCGTGTTTCTGGCGAATAATATCAAAAAACAAGACGTTATAGATACGATAAAATGAAGTGTAATGTTTTGGGTCAGTGCGTTGGGGGGGGGGGTCGAATGTGTTTGAACCATAGTATTAATAATAATAATATTATAAATGTATGAAGCCTGAGTGACGTCCCCTGTGTTCCTGCAGGGGGCGCTGGAGTCCCATCGATGGTGGTCTCCATGCTGGAAATGCTGTCTCAGTCTAACTTTCAGTCAACCTAACGACAGGCTGAGAGCTGGAGCTGAGGCGGGTTTTAAACCTCCTGACAAACCGTTACACCGCGCCCACCTGTCAATCAGGTCAGCTACACGCCTAACTCTGGTTTTTAAATGAGTTTTTAAATAAATCACCCCCGTACAGTGTGTGCCAGTGATGACAATAACTAATCAGACCTGTTTGTTTGTTGTAACAGGATGTAAACATGTTTATTTATGCTGTAAAAACTGCTTTTTTTCCAGTCATGTGTGTATGTGACTTCCTGTGTTCCTGCAGCCAGCCTCTAGTGGACACTCAATGAACTGCAGGATTTTGCACTTCCGCATTGGCTTAATTTTTAAAGGTCGGAGGTTGCTGCTTGGTTTGAACATTACGAGTCGTATTCTAAGTTGGTGAAAGCACTAATCCTCACCGCTTGGAAACTTATTGTATTCATCGACCAAAATAACAAGTACATCCCATACTGTATCTCGTAATAACAGGACCTCGTCATTATGACACCTGCTCGCTCGGTGACAACATGCCAACGCCACAGAAAGGCTGAGGAATCGATCCAGGAACCTCCACGCTGTGAGGCGACAGCACCGCTCTGCAGCCCGAGACAAACACGGACATAAAAGAGGAACACACCCACACAGCAGCTGCAGAAATAAACTAGCCTTACAAGACTTCTTCTTCTGCAGTGAGTAATGGGTTACGTGCTAACCCTCCTCATGTTTCCAAACTAAGAACTGCTGTAACACCTGAAGACAGGACCTCAGCTCACCTCCCCGCCTTAAAAATCACTGTTCATCCTCTCCCCCCTCCTCTTTACAGACTTCTGAACATCGGGGAGTTGTTCGCTAAAATTGAAAGCTGAGTCACTCAGCCCTGCAGTCAGGAATAATGGAGTACCACACACACACACACACACATCTCTTCTTCTTCTCTCTTTGACTCTCAGCTTGTTACTCTCCCGTATTCTTCCCTTTCTCTCTCTCTCTCCCTCCATCTCATAACTGATTAATTAATAAAAGCAGTGTGCCAGATAAGCCGATCTCCCTGCTGAGCTGTCGCTGCCGGCCGCCTGCTGATTTCACCCACATTAGTTACACTTGTTTCTGTCACGCTTCTCCTCCTCTTTTCCTCTGTTCTACTTTTCACTCCAGCTAATCCTCCCCTCCTTTTTCCCCTCCCTCATTCAGTTTTCTCTTTGTCCTGGCACATTTCCATCATCCCTCTCACTCAGCGCTCTTCTTCTCTCCAGGTTTTTCCCCCCCTCTATCCACTCTTTCTATTCTTTTTTCACTCCTGCTTATTCCCATTCTTCTCTCCCCTCTCTCGTTTCTCGCTCTCCTCCATCGTCTCCGTTCATCATTTTCCCCTCCTGCACTCTTATCTCCCCAGCTCTCATTCCTCTTCCTCCTTCACCTCACCTGACTTCTCTCGTTATTTTTCCTTTTGTGCGTAAATGTGCATCCGTATTCCCTCCGTGCATATACAACCTTCTCTTATCTCTCTTTGAATGTCTTCTTCCCCACGCTCACATTCTGTCCTCTATCAGTTTAAAGATACCCCCCTCCATCCTAATATTTATATATATAGCTCTACAGTATGCCCAGAATCCCAACTCTCTCTTTTATGTATGTTCAACACGTGCTCACTCCCAGCTCATCAAATACTGCAGCTTATTGGTTTGTTGCCCTAAGCTTCAAAATAACAATCTACTTTAAAATCAGACCTAAAAAGAATGATGTGCATATCCATCAAGCTGTTAATGTCAAGTCTTAAATCTATAATGTGTTTGTGAAGTTGCTTCAGTTTTTGAGCACCTTAAAGGAGCAATATGTAACTCTGACCCCTAGGGTTTAAAATAAGTACTGCAGTTTAAATTCTAAGAGAGCTGTCTCCCCCAAGTGGACTGAAATGAATTCCTGTTGTTGCTTTAATGTTTGGAGAAAGACGTCTTTAAAGAGTAAACTAGGATTAACTGTTTTTCAGAAGCGAGATGTTACCCAGGACTGACCCATCCATTCAAAAAGAGTGTTCAGTGCACAGAACATTACATCACTTCTTTCATATTTAAACTGGCTGCATTTCATTATAATCAATGGGAAGAAACAAAACAAAGCAAGTCTGTTTTACTCTGAAGGAAAGGCAAACTGCAGCGCATTCTCAAGCATCAGTTAAACAAAGAAATGGACGACAGAGAAAATCCTCCTGGGGAAAAAGAAAGTCTTTAACCTCCCTGATGCAGAACCTTTCCTTATGCTGCACACCTGCATGAGAGTCTGGGTGACACGGCACACTTAAAGTAATCTCAGGTGACGGCGCTCACTGGAGCTTCAAATCCCACCTCAGGGAACCGACACCAACAGGAGATGTTTGTTTAGCCGGAGATGTTAGAGGGGGAGGGGAACATGCAGGACTTCACGCTGATTTGATTTCCTCAAACCGTCATGTTGGTGTTTTTTAAAACGTCTTTCATAAACTTGTGCTTGTTCTGTTTGTGACAGCGTCTTGTGTGAGTCTGTGAAGGCAGCGTGTGTGTGTGTGTGTGTGTGTGTGTGTGTGTGTGTTGATTTGTTTGTCTCTGTGGGTGTGATCTGCAGTGCGGGGGTGCTGTTTTCTGATATTTATAAATGTCAGCTCAGAGTGTGTTTATCCTGCAGAGAAGCAGACAGCTGGTGAGGCCGTCGTCTTCACATCATCCCCACAACTTGACGCAGTGTTGAAGTTGAAGGCTGCTGAACATCTGCGTTCACCTCCGTCTAAAATCAATAAATCACATTAAAATACATGTTTCACTTAAAGATGTATAGACATACATGTCTCAGTGTGATGATCTGAACAAATCAGACCCTGAATATGACTGGCAGCTTCTTCCCACTGTGTGTTTGGAGGTTTAAAGACCAACAAGATGAAAGAAAGGACAGATTTATGAACATTCAAATATTAACGGACGAGGCCTGACGTCATCCATCTGTGACTTTAAATACAGAACAGCTGCAGGAACAGATTCAGTTTGTGTTGTGTGTGAGTAGTCAAGTTTCAGTTTGTCACTCAAGACTTTACTGTAATAATGCAGATAATCCTCTAATTGAGTCTGAATTGTTTTACTAGTTTTGTACTAAAATTAGACTTCAGCTGTGAAATGAATTCAGAGGCTTTATTAAAGGTCCAATCAGTGAGATCTGAACTAAATGATAAAGGTATCTTACTCTCTGATCATTAAGGAAACATGCTATGTTGAAGTGCTGGCTTCTCTGACAACAATGCAGCAGCCAGTATGTCCTCCTTCTAACTTTAGATTCTGCTCCTGAATGCTCTGGATTTGTTTGGACCAGAGAAGGTAGGCGCTTTTAAGACCCCCCCCACATGGCCGTTTTGGACACCCCTCAGTTTGTCAGATATGAGAGCAGTTATCAGGTCAACAGGTGTTGCAGCGATGGAAGCGGTCAAGAGAAGTGGTTCAGATAGAAGTGATTGTACCCGACCTAAAAAGCCTCTGCATGTTTCTAATAAGCTCCACGAGCAGAAACGTGCTCAAACTAGGATCAATATTGGAGATGCTTTTGAAAAATGGAGAGAGGTTAGAACACAGAAAGGTTTACAGACCCATGCAGAGCTGGATAAACACTGAAGCTTCAGAGTCCACCACATGGTGACCTGAGTGAGCATCCACTCTAGAGAGGAGGGGGGGGGAGACAGCTCTCTATGATGTTTAGAATTTAGACTGCAGTACCCATTTTAAACACTAGGAGTCAGAGTTACATATTGCTCCTTTAAGGTGCTCAAAAACTGAAGCAACTTGATAAACACATTATAGATTTAAGACTGCACATCATTCTTTTTAGGTCTGATTTTAAAGTAGATTGTTATTTTGAAGCTTAGGGCAACAAACCAATAAGCTGCAGTATTTGATGAGCTGGGAGTGAGCACGTGTTGAACATACATAAAAGAGAGAGTTGGGATTCTGGACATGCTGTAGAGATATATAAATGTTAGGATGGAGTTACATAGTGCTCCTTTAATTCAGCTGAATTCTCTCCTTACACACTAAATAGTGCCTAAATGAAAACAAGAGCAGTGAAGCCTGCACACTTTCTCTCTACAGAGACACAAACACACACTCTTTAGAACACAGCCACACACATTTATTCATGATATTTCCAAACACACATGGTCGGTACTCTGTAACTATATGTGTCATCGTGCACCAGCCGCCCGGTTCAGTCCAACACTCTCCATCTCTGTGCATTAACAAGTCTCTGTTTGGCCTGCAGGGCCTCTTCAAACAGTCGAGGAGTCACTAATTCCAATTAATTTACTCTCCCTGCCTCTAATTAAAAAACTCTTATGCAAATGGAGTCACGCTCTGTAACTCCGATTCATCGTAAGTTAGCAAAAACAGAAAAGGCTTTTCCAATGATTATGTAAATGTATTAAAATATGTACTCATGAACTTGGAAGAGAATCAGAAAAGAGGAGGTTCATACTTTATTTAGAGAGAATGGGACTCAAAAACAACTGATCCCAACAGAAAACAGGAATTAATCAAATTAGCTCTTAAATGTCTTCAGCTACAAGAAGAGACGAAGCCTCTGAGCTGTGGAGAATCTAAATATTAACTCGTGTGTGGTAGCTTCAAAGCTCCTCGGCCTGTGTTCTTAGACCGGCCTAACAGTGTTTGAAATGGTTTCAGGATGCTGAAGAGTGTTTGTGAGGGGATTTAGAGTTCTCTATCACAGCTTTGAAATCCAGAGCGCCAAAGAGACGGCGTGTTTGAGGGCTTCAGAGGTAGAAACAGATCTGGATCCTTTCCATCTCTGAGGCGAGCGAAACCAAGGGAGGAAGTGAGTGAGGGAAGGGATCGTGTGTGTGTGTGTGTGTGTGTGTGTGTGTGTGTGTGGAAGATGCTCTCACAGTGAACAGCTGAGTGAGCTATGACTACCTGAAGAATAAAACCAGAGAGAGAGAAACTTGTTGACTTGTTCTTGGTTTAGGTGAAGAGTTTGGTAAACTTACCCTCGGTTGGTGACGACGGCTTTCTTCAGGTGGATGTAGCTGGCTGGGAAAACTCCCTGCAGAGACACAGAAGAAGACAGCTGTGAGGACAACGATCCATTTTACAGAACTACAAACACCGTTCAGATGAACACACATCTCAAACCGTTCATTTCATGTTTGTGTCTTTTTAGGGACACACGTCAGCACTGTTAGAGTGATAGGATGTATTTTTATTCTGCTTTCTAGCACTGAATCTTTTCAGTCACTTAATCCACACATAGGTTTGTCTCAGCTAGTTCAGGTTCTGGTTCAGGTTCAGGTTCAGTTCAGGTTCAGGTTCAGGTTCAGGTTCAGACCACTTTATGTATCCCAGAGGTGCAGCTCACTTTCACAGCCTGCCGAGTCTTATTAAAAGAAATCTAAACAAACAAACAGTCACAGCAGCAATCAGACGATTACACAACAGATCAGCACATAATAAGTATAAATATACTTAATATAAGTATATAGTATGTAAGAATATAAGTATAAATCCAGCTTTAGAGTATCTGTGTAACTTTGATTAAAACATCAGTGAATACATGATATATTAAAACAAAGTGACATGTTAAAGATTTGTTGTCTTCTCCTGATGCTAGCTCAACATGGACTTGCATACATTAACTCTGTAAGCTTTTAGTCACACACAAATGTTCTTCATGACAAAACTCCAAAATCCTTTAAATCCACCCGAACAGGAAGTGTCAGGCTGCACAGAGTCTGACTGTGTTCAGTTTCAACGAAAGTGACAAAACTTCTCCAGTCTGTTGCCAAACAGAGGGACTTCAGGTTTAGAGGGTTAGTAAAGTTGACTTCAGGTTTCAGAGGGTTAGTAAAGTTGACTTCAGGTTTCAGAGGGTTAGTAAAGTTGACTTCAGGTTTCAGAGGGTTAGTAAAGTTGACTTCAGGTTTCAGAGGGTTAGTAAAGTTGACTTGAGGTTTCAGAGGGTTAGTAAAGTTGACTTGAGGTTTCAGAGGGTTAGTAAAGTTGACTTGAGGTTTCAGAGGGTTAGTAAAGTTGACTTCAGGTTTCAGAGGGTTAGTAAAGTTGACTTCAGGTTTCAGAGGGTTAGTAAAGTTGACTTCAGGTTTCAGAGGGTTAGTAAAGTTGACTTCAGGTTTCAGAGGGTTAGTAAAGTTGACTTCAGGTTTAGAGGGTTAGTAAAGTTGACTTCAGGTTTCAGAGGGTTAGTAAAGTTGACTTCAGGTTTCAGAGGGTTAGTAAAGTTGACTTCAGGTTTCAGAGGGTTAGTAAAGTTGACTTCAGGTTTCAGAGGGTTAGTAAAGTTGACTTCAGGTTTCAGAGGGTTAGTAAAGTTGACTTCAGGTTTCAGAGGGTTAGTAAAGTTGACTTCAGGTTTCAGAGGGTTAGTAAAGTTGACTTCAGGTTTCTTTTAAACCTCTGCTGCTCGCTGACCAGTTAAACAGACTGAACACATGTAGAGTGAAGACGACCCGCGCTGCACAACACTACTACTAAACACTCTGTGTCTCAGAGGTGCACTGTTCAATTATTCATGGAGGGTAGGCTGAAGGTTATAAGGAAGCTGCTCTAACATGCAGGCTGAGAGGATTCATGTGTTTTAATATAACGCACATTACAGATAAAACTACAATTCTACAATTCACTTCGCAGACGAAAACTAAAAACATTTGATTCTTTCTCTGCTGGAGAAACAGAGGATTGCTCTCTCGGGGTGAAGGAGTTGAAGTGTCTCGGGGTCTAGTTCACGAGTGAGGGTAGGATGGACCGTGAGGTTAACAGGTTGGCTCGGCGTCGGCAGTAATGTAGGCGTTGTGTTGGACCGTCTGGGTGAAGAGGGGGCGGAGCCTGAAGGCAAAGCTCTCGATTTACCGGTCGATCTACGTTCCGACCCTCACCTGTGGTCATGAGCTGTGTGTAGTGAACCAAAGAATAAGATCCAATCGGCTGAAATGAGTTTCCACTGGAGGGTGTCTGGGCTCAGCCTTAGAGAGAGGGGGCGGAGCTTAGACATTCAGGAGGAGCTCTGAGTGGAGTCTCTACTCATTCACATTGAAAGGAGCCAGTTGAGGTGGTTCAAGGATCTAATTAGGAACCTCCTGGATGCCTCGTTCTCTGCAGGGTTTCTATTTCCCGCCTGGCCTTGGAAGACCTTGGAACCCCTCAGGAGGAGCTGGAAAACGTTGCTGGGGAGAGGAAGCGCTTGCTGCCAACGCTACCCGACTTCTGATAGCGGAAGAAGATGGACGGATGATTTGTTGTTAAATTTCTTACTGGAGCTGCAGGAACCTCAGCAATAAAACATCAAATGAAGTTTATTACTTTTCTATTTCTACACCTTTTTATTTCAACTCAACCGTTGTGTTTACTTTAAAACTCTCGTCTTGATTTATTTATTCTTTGGAGTGATAAATAACAGCTGGAGGGTCTGTGAAGAGGGAGCATAATTAGCTGTTTTAGTTTCAGGAGATTTATTATGTGCTTGGATCATAACCACAAAAAAAGAGTTTTCAGGCCTGAGGATGCAGTTTGTTTGTGCGTTAATAAAAAACATGTTTGTGTTAGCGCTCGCTTCATCGTGTTAAATGACAGTCTTGAAGATTTGTCCCTCATGAGCTCCTTTCAAATATGCTCTCCTGAAAAATGTTCTAGATCATTTTCAGGAGGACTGCTGCTGAAATCCTCCTGATGGGATTGTTCACACATGCACCCGCTCCAGGTGAATTCTCCTGATTATATCCTGCTGCGTTCTCACATCAGCTCACTCTGACCTTCTGCAGAATAAACACGAGGAGGCTGGAGGAAAAACTTCAGGGTGTTTGTGTTCACACATGACGCTCAGCCTGGAAACATCAGGAGATTTGTGCAGGTGTGAAAGCACAACAAGATGCTTGTCACAAAGTTTTACAGAGATGCTCCTGCTCCTCAACTTGCTCCAGCATTCTTACTTTTTAAATCATTTCTCCTTTAAAGTTGCAAAGCAGCAGATGTGAGACGCTGTGCTCGCCGCAGGTCTCTGACAGGCCAATCAGTGACTCTGCAGCAGGCGGGGCTCCCGGTGTGAGGACCCGCCGCGCAGCTCCGTGGTCGCTTTTACTGCTTAAGTATTAAAGTTAGCATCACTGCTGCAGAGCTGGGTGTTAATATTTCAAATGAAGTTATTTGCTCCAGCAGGTCTCCCTTCTTTATCTTAAATACTTCACGTTGTACTCTTCCTCCAACGTGGAAGTAATTAGGCCTTTAGTGATACAAAACCCTCGCAGCTCAAGTGACTGGGGAGATATTTTATGGAACTGGAGAGAGTAGGAAAAAAAGAAATGTTGAATTAGCAAAATGAAGCCGCAGCTGCAGGAGTCCACCGAGGAAAACCTCCACACAGGAGGGATTTCATTTCTATATGCTACTGCATGTTTTAGAGAGGAGAGGGAGAGCAGACTGAATCTATTTAAGGAGTGTGTGTGTGTGTGTGTGTGTGTGTGTGTGTGTGTGTGTGTGTGTGTGTGTGTGTGTGTGTGTGTGTGTATCTGTGTGTCTGCTTGTGCTCAGCTGTTTGTTCATGTATAAAAACATCCCTGTGTTCCCTTCTGTAGGCTACACGCTGTGAGTGTTAGTATCTATTTATGTTTCCCTCAGTTGTCAGACAGTCTGCAGAAATGTTCATAAAGCATCCGATAAGGTGTCAACAGATCTGTGTGTGTGTGTGTGTGTGTGTGTGTGTGTGTGGGGTCAGAGGAGAATGTCTCTCTCTGTCCCCTCATGTATAATAACCCCGCCTCGATTCTTTAAGACACCTCTCTGACTGAGGCGTGTTCTGCATCGTCTGTCAGAAAACATCCCATAATACTACACGGTGGAACAGTTAGATCTCTTATTTACAAGTTTTTGAAGGAGAGAGAGAGTCACAGAGTGTTGAGGATATAAGGAAACCAGCATGATGGTGCTGAGGAGAAACAGAGATACTGTGTTAACAGGTGGAGGTGAAGTCTGCAGGGAGCTCCATCAGCTTCCTGTCTGCATCAGAAACACTCACTTTGTCCTCTTTGTCCTCTTTGTCCTCTTTGTCCTCATGACTCTGATGCATCCTAACAAATCTGTCATGATTTGGTCTTATTTAGTTTTGTATTTCAGCGTTTAGGTTTCCATGTTTTAATTTCTCCTGTTTCTCCTAGTGTTGCTTGTTTCCCTCGTGTGTTTCTTAGTTTAGTCTTCAGTGTTTCCTGTGTTAGTTTGTCATTTCATATCTTGTGTCCCTCTATGTTCTAGTGTGTCTTGATGTTTCCCTCCATGTTGATTGCCCTCATTGTCTTCACCTGTGTCTGATTACCCCATGTCTCTGTGTTTCTTCCCCTCTGTGTCAGTTCATTGTCAGATGTGGTATGTTAGTTGTCAGTCTCCCAGTCAGTCCTCGTGGCTGCCGTGATTACATTTTGACTTTTCAAGATACTAAGTGTTTGTTTTGCCTTTGGCCTATTTGTTTATTAAATATATTTAGTTTATTCTGCAGGTGGGTTCAGTTCCTTGTTTTTCCCCTGAACATAACAAAATCAAAGGAAACATTTGTCTTTCTGATGGTTCACTGGTCCATTAAAGCGTCTATATCAGACATAAACTTATACTTTACGATTCCAGGACGATTTAGACCTGATTTGAGTCGTTACACTCGCTTTGGAGTCGGGCCGGATTTCAGCCCTGTGTCAGTTGTGCAGGGTGCTCTGAGGCACAACGTTTAATCCCCGTTAGATCAGCTGATCCCGATTGGTCCAATGAACTTCTGACAGAGACAGAGAAATATATTTAATAACTTCTACAATGACAACGTACCACCACAGCCATGATGATATAAAGCACTTATTGACAGTCTTATTAATAGACCAGCGCTGCTATGATAACAAAGCTGAATGTAGACACACACACACACACACACACACACACACACACACACACACACACACACACACACACACACACACACACACACACACACACACACACACACACACACACACACACACACACGGAGCACATCTTGTTCCTGTCTCTGCTTAGTTAGCT